AAATGTGATCAATGTCATCTCAGTACTATATCCCAGTCTAAAATCTGACTGAAAAGGGTCCAGATAATGTATTTTTTCCAGGGGTTTCTGAGGCTGCAGACCAACCATTTTCTCAACAGCCTGCCCTAGAGGGGAAGGTTGGAGATGGGAGGAAAATTGTCCAACACTATTGAATTCAGCAATGGTTTCTTGTGGTAGTTCTTGATTACACAGCAACTGGTGAGTTTAAATGTCATGCCTTGGCTTGCTTCCTGATAAGCAGCATTGGGAAGCTAAGCCAAAATAAAATGAACAAACAATACTGTGGTTTAGCAAATGTATGCAATTATTCTTTGTTTATCTGACTGGCATCCCAGTTGGTCTTGCTAATTATCAATTGTACATTGAAAGAAATATTTAACCCTTTCTTCCCTTGCCCTTTAGCTGATATGAGCTTTACGATTTAGGGTTAGACGTAAATGGCCTTGTCTGAATAATGTGGGTGTATATGTAGCATTGAGAAAAGAGGGGGGATAGCACTTTCTACATACCAGAAGAACTACCACAATGAAAAAAAACCTAACTATTCTCTGTAATCCCAGAATATATGATATAGAATAATGGGTTTAAGTTACAGGAAGGCAGATTACTAATTGAATATTAGGAAAAAACTTCCCAATGGTAAAACAAATGGAACAAATTATCCAAGAATGTGGTATGTCTCCTTTCTTTAGTGGATGAGTTGAAGCAAAAGGCAGGGGATCCCCATCTGCTGGGGATACTATAACTAGAATTCTTATATTAAGTGGAGGGTGATGGGTTGGTAGGGTTTGAACTCCATAGCCTGAATGGATGCCTCCCACTCTATGATTCTGTGACTTGTCTCCCTCTTGTCATAGGAGACAAATCACAGAATCATAGAGTGATTTAAATACATTGGGTTCATACATTTCACTTGATGATGATGATTTATTAAACTTGTATGCCACCCAACTCCCAATGACTCTGGGTGGCTCACAACAATTAAAACAAAGAAATTAAAATAAAACCAATAAAAGGAAAAAAAAGATAAGAATGACAGACTGGATGGAATGAAGCAAGGGGTCTCACTCTCCATTGCCAAAGGCCTGGGTGAAGACCCAAGTCTTCACAGCTCTTCTAAATAACAGCAGGGTAGAGGCCATCTAGATCTTGGGGTGGTGGTGGGGAAACCTCATAAATCATGGTTTGGTTAACATGGTGTTTTGACAGGAACTGAAAAAAATATGTCTCAGCATGCTGCATGAGCACAGTCACTGAATCAGATTAAGTTTCATCTAGCTCAGTGTTTCTCAATCTCAGCAATTTTAAGATGTGTGGACTTCAACTCCCAGAATTCCTCACCCAGCATGTTAGTTGAAGCATGGCTAGCTAAGGAATTCTGGGAGTTGAAGTCCAGACATCTTAAAATTGCTGAGATTGAGAAACACTGAGCTAGCTTTATATTGGTCCATACACTCAATTGGTAGAGGCTTTCCAAGGTCTCAGGCTGGGGCTTTGTTAGCAGTGCTGGTGGAATTGGGGAGTCAACTCAGGATCTTCTGGACACAAAACATGTCTTATCACAGAGCTGTGGCCCTTCATAGAATCCTAGTGTAAGGTTCACGGCCACCCAGAAAACTTGAAATCAATCAGCAGT